TCGCCGACAGGCTTATCGTGGCTATCGCGGGGGTGATATCGCACGCTTGTCGCCATTGCGACAAAGAAACTCCACTACGGACCATGTCTCCTAAGGTGTTGGTTGAACTAGCTTTTTCAAGTACCCATCGGAATGCTTCGGAGCGCAGTCTAGCTGAAGCTCGGAACCTCGAGCGTTTACGGGTCGATAACGACGTCGAAGTGCTATACTACTTTCAATCGGCCGACCCTGACTTCCAGGACAGCTGTACCGAGGCCTACCCCGAAGCGCTCTCGTCCAGCCAACCTGTCGGGTTAGCGAACGACGAAGCTACTATGGCTAATCTAATAAGGATGCGTGGTGATCCCGTTCGCCGAGGACGGCAAACGCCAAGTCGGGGAGGATGCCCCGCACCCGGGAACGAGGGGGTCGTTACAGACGTCACTCGCCTGTCCAGGATGCCCGAGGGCTTGAGACCACTCCTCGTCACGCCGTTCCGTCAGATTTGTACCCGCTGGACTTGGCGGCTCGCGCACTCCTTGCCGAGCCCTTTAGACTTGCCCTATAGAGTGGACCAGGAACGCTGAGACCCGTTCGACGTGGGACTAAGGCGCCTAGCACAATTGGGTCCCTTCCCAGGGCCCCCCTGCTGTCCTACGAGGATGGATGTCAGGTGGAGCGAGCTCGTCCTCCAAGAGTAAGAGGAGCGGTGTTGTGTCTGTGAGGAAAGGATGGTGTTAGACCCCTTTTCTGGCTAGCTCTCAGTCTTATATTTCCCACCTTCTACTCAAGTGGAAGCCAAGTCAAATAAATAAACTTTTATTCTTTTAAGTGTTCTTGCCCATCGTTCCGGCTACTGAGCAAGACCGTACTCCCTGTGCAGCCGCGGACTACCCGACCCTATGAGGTGGAGGTATTTGACACAGCCAGGGTGCTGGTACGAGGTTGTAAGTGTGTGTATCTTGCACACATGAAAAGGTCGGTCGAGGAGCTTGTGGTCGGTGGTGGACTGGAGAAATGAAAGTGAGCTTGGAACGAGCCTAAACATGCTGCTGCAGGCTTAAGACAAAAAAGGAATCAATGGCAGGCATGAAGCTACTGTTTGTCAGTCAAATCTCAGATAGTAGTCCGATAGAAGTCAACTATGAATATTTTATATAATCGTGATCTAAGACACGAATATTTGTAATAGTCTCGGCTTCCCAAACTAATAATATGATTTTTTAACATCTTTTAATTGTTCGGTACTACTTCGAAGTAGTATTTACGGGCTTCGGTATTCGAGTTTAGGCTGGTAACACAATACACCTCACTTATTATTATTATTAGTATATACGGGCTTATTACCCAAAGTGATACCTACTATCAATTTCTGCTTGTATCACGTAATCTGCTAAAACTATCTGCGTGACTACAGTCGGTAGCATAAACAAAAACCCTTAACAAACACCGCATAGAATTAACTTAGCTGGCCTTGTCATTTCAATTACCAGTCCCCCTAAATTATCGTGTCTTGCAGTTCATATACCGTACTCCTTGATACAGATCACAGAGATTGGAGAAATAACAACAAATCACTAGATCGCATTGATTGACCTATGTAAATTTATCAGACGATCTCCTAAGCTTATTGAGGGGGGCTTCTGTACAAGTCAGCTGACCTGATGTTGATTGTCTACACATCGCACGTTGAGCTTTCCAAGCCAAAAGCCTATCGTGCATCAGTTTTTGCAGCGTCGGTTGTGTAGTATATCTGCTACTAACATATTTTTCTTCTGACGGTGTACCTGCTTAGCAGACAAAGTAAATTTGTGTCCGTTAGATTTTAGGAGCATTTTGTAAAATTACCATAACAGGGCTCGCCTCATCGCTTACCGGAAAATGGTTTCGTCTCGAGTGTTTTTTTGTTTTTTAGTGAAATTTTGGTCAAGGTTGGCCTTTCCCATCAATAACATCGGTAAGTACCACATTGGACCTACTTTATGGAAAATACGGTACCGAAGTCCCTCAAAGTAAGCGTCACCTACTTACGTGATACCCCGCCATATCTGCTACGGTACGTACAGGTTCAACTGGCCAATCACAAAATGCACTGATTTTGGATGAGCTGCAGGATCGGCGGCCATCATTTCCAGACCGGTCCGGCCTCTTCGCTAAGTAAACCATTGAAAGACTGAGAATGGAGATTAAATGTACGAGGTAACTCATGCTCCCGCTACGTACGCCTCCCTCCACGCACACTATCACTCTTCCAAGCGACCATGACCGCCAGCCCCATGCCGCGCCGGATCCGCCTTTATATGGAGCAGAAGATCGCCATGTGCAAGTATGCGAAGGATATGCGCGCCAAAGGCAAACTGTCCAACACACAGCTCGCAGCGTGGGCAACACGTGCGTTCAAGCTGGAAAAATCTCTTTCACGCGATGCCGCTCGCAATGTTATCGCTGGGGAGTCTAAGTGGGCCGCTATGGAGCCCTGTCAGCTAGAGCGCAAGCAGCTCGTCAGCCACCCGTCAGCCCCCAAATCCAGGAGACGGACGTTCGCATTATGAAGGTCTTTAAGGCCATGGACGACAAGGTGGAGGCTATCACAGGCAAGGTGATAAAGGCCATTGCTCTTCGCGTGAACGCGTATGGCGAGAACACCACGTTGAAGCTCTCTAAGGGATGGCTGTATAGATTGCAAGAGCGTCACCGAATCTTCAAGAAGCGGAAGCACGGCGAAGCTGCGTCAGTTGACCAAGAGGCAGCTGAAGCTGGACGTGTGAAACTACGAAAGCTGACGGACTCGTACGCCCGGTCCGAGATCTACAACATGAATGAGACCTCGTTCTTCTTTCGGAGCGAGGTTAAGTATATACTCTCACGCAGAGGAAGGTGATCTCAGGACGCAAAGACCCCAAACATCGGCTGACACTGGCTCTAGCTGTGAATGCTGATGGCAGTGGTAAGCTCCCACCGCTTTACATTGGCTCAGCAAAGGTTCCTCGAGCCTTTGTAGGGCGCGATGTGTGGAAGGAACTTGGCGTGCTATACGCTAACAGTAAAAAAGGCTGGATGAATACGGTAATTTTTCAGACGTGGCTACACTCGGTTAACCTGCAGATGTGGAAGGAAGGTCGCAGCATTTTGCTGCTCGTCGACAGCGTGAGTTCACATGCACGACCGCCATTGCATTGAGCAATGAACGTCTGGATTTTTTGCCCAAGAATACGACTTCGTGTTTGCAGCCGTTGGATCAAGGCATTATTCGAGCCTTAAAGAGTAAGTACAGGGATTTAAAGGTACTTGATTGTGTCGACCGCTTTTTAGAAGGGCGGGACCAAGAGAAAGTTGATATCTACACCGCTCTTTGTTGGAGTACGACGTGATCTCGCCCAAAACCATTCAGAACTGCTGGGCATTCTGTCGGACAGGAGCAAGATCGCCTCGCTTCTTAATTGAATATCAGTACATTTAAAATATTTGTTTTATCACCCTCTAAGATCGTTTCTCGGTCCCCCCTACGCTTACTCGGACTTCTGTACCTCTACAGGCTTTTGCTATTGGTCAAACCTGTTTTTTGTTATACCCCGGTACTTTGCTAGCCCTGCCGAAAGCAGACTGCGTGTGTTTGGATGATAGCTATGAGGGAAAGCTTACTAGCCCAGGAAGCCGTAATCGCTACTAAAAAATCAGGCATGATTCCGGTACATACGGAATAGATATGACGTTTTCATTGAACATAAGGTCAGAATGTACAGCTCTTCTGACAAAAGCTGAGGGGATCTCCTTTAGAACAGCCCACCACGCCGAGCAATACAGTGTGCATGGAGGGAGGCGTACGTAGCGGGAGCATGAGCTACCTCGTACATTTAATCTCCATTCTCAGTCTTTCAATGGTTTACTTAGCGAAAAGACCGGACCGGTCTGGAAATGATGGCCGCCGATCCTGCAGTTCATCCAATGATTGGCCAGTTGAACCTGTACGTACCGTAGCAGATATGGCGGGGTATCACGTAAGTAGGTGACGCTTACTTTGAGGGACTTCTGTACATGCAATACAGCAGAAGCAGAAATAAAAAAAATGTTGATCGCCAGGTTACGGCCATGCAATCCACCGAGACTTCTGGACTGTACTGTACGAAGACTACTCACTTTTCAACTTGAGACCTCCACGCGCTTCTCAAAATGAAGGTCCAGATCGTTTTTGCTGCTGTCGCTACTCTGCCGATGCCCGTATAAGTCTTGGTCGGCACCTGGGCGTAAATGGCATCTTTTACTAACCTCTGCGATCAGCCACGGTTCTCTCGCTGGGATCGGCCCTGACAACAGATATGAAGGCTCTGGCCTCTTGACTGCCAAATTCACCCAGAAGGGGATATTTTTCGTGTGTGCATGTAGACAACCACCAAACAAGTACTTGTTCAGAAAAAAAAAAACTGTGCACAAGAGAGTGCATTTTGTTGCACAAACATGGAAGACTCTTCTCCCGAACAGGAATACTAAAGGAGGCGATGGTTAGACGGCTTGTAGCTCTTCAATTGACGGCAAGATGGTTGCAAACTACGTAGTAGAAGCTAAATGCAAGTGTGTTAGTCTTGTGCTTCTTGACCTGTCTATAATAGTGAGGGCCGGACTCCCTTCGTATATGATGTTTTACTTTTGCTTTTTGAAACGGACGAACTCCTCTATATATTTCGACAGAGTTACTACAGCAAGTATCATGGATGTTGTAAAAATATGCCCACCGTTTCTTGCGCTGTAACACGTTTCACAGAGAATTTGTTTTTAGAATGGAAGAAATGCGGCTTCGAGCCTTGGCATCTCAGTTGCAGAACGCGGAGGCATGCTTGTCAACAATTTTAATCCAACGCACCTCCATATTCGCAAGAAAGTGTTTGTAGCCGTTTTCATTTTTCTCGCGGGTAGTATATTTCTACTACATGTACAAGTACTCGCAACCTAAGTGCTGATTTCGCAGCAGCAACAAATGGTAGGTGTAGAAGTCCTCCGGGTCCAAGGCGACTCGCTAAGTTTGTTTACGAAGATGTTTTCTTACGGCTAATCAAGTTTTTAATCTTCTTCAAGTCTTTCGCCTTCTTGGCCACCTTGACGAGGTCGCTAAGGTCTATCTCCGGGTTCTTGGCGACTTTGTTCGTAGTCTGGACTATGGATTTCCAGACGCCACCATTTCCGTCCAGCGGACGGCTCTGGACAACTTCTTGGCCTGCGATACGAAGGAATCTTTTGTCAGGAGACGCCTTCGACAAGAGCTGAGACTCATTGGGATCTGGGAACGCTGCGACGACGCTACTGCGAGCTGAGACTGCAACGGCAAGAGCAACGTAAAAAATACTGCGCATGCCTGTAGAGAGGGTCAACGCTGGAAAGAAGCGCCTTGTGGTCTGGAAATGAAAACGTGAAGTGACTGCTGGAAGTTCTTACTAGCAGACTGAACCGGTGGATAGCGTCTCACAGAAACCGAGTGTACCGTTTTCATGCGTTGGTACTTGCTCAGTGCCAATGCATGCGCGTTAGGAATCAACCCCACGACAACGACGACCATTGCAGCACCGACGATCTAACAATACTTTCCAGAAATGCTACAGAGAATACTGTCGTCAACACAAACACGTTTAGTCAGTACTGAATGTTATAGTACTTGCATTCTTAAAAACATAAATCACTTGATCATTCAAATATAAAAAAAGATTTGCAGCTAGAAGTTTCAATTTAGATATACTGCGAGAGCTGCATTATAAATATGTAAAACGGGCCAAAATCTTAGCCGTTTTGTCACTATTTACCAGCGACTCGTCTTACGAAACGAAAAACTTGTAATCAAGTATAAAATGAGTTTGAGGTTAACGTGACTTTGACTCGTTGTTGTACAACAAGCATACAAGGTATTTTTTGGCGTAGCAACACATAATGTACTGTATTTCTTTACCATAGATCTACACTATTATTCATGTGCGGTACTGCAACACATTTCGATTTGAACCTACCGGTATGTAAGATGAGGCCGTACGTGCGTGTTCTTACGTTGTATAAGTGCGTTTGTAATCAAGATACGAACTTACAGTACATGTACTGTAAACGTAGATTGCAGCTACTGATACATGTAGCCGAGTACAACTAAGCGTAAATACGTCCTGGGCTGAAACAAAAAGGCGCGCGGGAGAGCTCTGTCACTGAATTGTCTGCTCCAAGTAAATCACGAATAGCAAGACGAGTCATTTAAGAGCTGAATCCAATAATAATAATAGTGGCTGATGTCTTTTTTAACCACCTTTTGTCGAGTATAGTACACGTAAGCCGTCTGTGCAGCTCTAAACGGCACTTCAATCATTTACGTACTTAGAATCGAAGCACCACAGTCACTTCGATCTGGTTCTTCGTGCATGGTCATGTGCCACATCCACTGGATGGCATCCGGGGCGGGGATCTAGATCTGTCACATAGTCAATGAGATTAAAAAAGAGATATAAGAGCAGAAAGAGCGAGCCAGAACACATGTAGACTAAAGGTTTAGCAATAAAGGTATTTCGCAACAATTTTGTTATCGACTCAGTAAATATTTACTGTGATTTTTGGAATCTCGCAGTTAATCATTTGAGCAAAACGTTCGTTAAGCTCAATACATTTCCCAGTTTCAAACTGAGTCCCCCAGAAAGACAGGATGTTTATGTGATCATAAAGACGCGTATAAACACCTCAAAATACTGTGCTGTTTTTAAACGGTGCATCAGACATGGTACCGTGTACCCATGGAAATCCTTACACTGTAATATGCCGAATAGAAGACCCATTCGGAATCCCTATTGGGGATACCAATAAAGAGGACCGTATGTATGCATCTCCAACGTGGTATGCAATATCGAAGTTACAGCAATGCTATAAGAAAGACTTTCTTATGTTATATTGTACGATGTATCAACTTACAAATATTTTTACGATAATGACAGGATTCTTTTTTTATTCAAAATCTAGCAGAAGCTTCTCTCTTCAATACCCAAGCCTCCCTACAAGAATCTTCCCTACGTTCCTTCTCGTACATGCCTTCACGCTGTCCTCCGCTGTCCTTTGACCTCTGCAAAATCCCTTACTCCAACATGTTCTCGTACCACCCGTAGACACTCGTAAGTTTGTAAACGATTTACACAGAACAGTATCCCTCGTAATTTGATCTCAGAAACACTTCTGGAAATGTTCTCAGGACATAAGTGATACATCTACGGGTTCAGCTGTACAGCACTCACTTTCCATCTTTCTTTCAAGACCACACGGCCCTCTTTCCATCGGTATCCGTCTCTTTAGTCATGCGCAGGTTGCTCTTGCCTTTGCGATTTCATCTCACCGCAGCGACTTCGCCGCTTTCCCGAGTCCCGATAATTTTCGGCTGTTGTCGAAGGCATCTCCTGATACTGGGGTCAAAAGGTCTCTTCGTGTTCAGTCCAAGAGGGTGTGCAGAGTCTCCCGCTGGACGGGAATGGTGAGATCATTAGAGCCATGGCCCGGAGTACCAACAAAATCATCAAGAGACCGGCAGAAATTGACATAAGCAAGCTCATCGAGATAGCTAAGAAGGCAAAAAAAGCAAGAAAAGCGAAAATGGTAGTCAAGCCCCCATCGTCGTAAATAATTTCGGTGGTAGCCTCACGGGGATCTAGAGTCTGTATCTACCTTCTCGCCGCTGTAAAATCACAGGATTGACTGCGATAAGAGAACATTCGAAACAACGAGTTTGTATCTAGTACTACCTCCGTTCTGAAAAAGATAACCATTTCAAATTATATTACAGCCTACCCAAAACAATACCCCCTCTATGCCGATCTCTTGTTGGATTTCGAATCTCCCGCGCTTTCCCGGCTCCCGCTCCCAGCTTTCATTTTGAAAGCTGGCACCTGGGGGAGATCACAGACAGTGAGCGCCAGGCCGTCTGGGAGACCTTACTGCTTCGCAGCGTGGGAGGAGTGCTCAAACATGGAGAGATCGTTCGGGTTGCAGCGTACTTCCGTGTGGGCCGCCAAGTTGTCGAGCGAATTTGGAGGCGTGGAATCAATTCGATGGGAGATCGAGTAGCAGCCGTCGTCAAGTCAAGGAAGAGCGCATGTGGTAGGAAGAAGGTGGTTCGAGCTGAGCTGTGCGAGAGAATCGCTGCAGTTCCTGTCAATGAGCGCGAAAACCTGCGTCTGCTTCAGCGCGCGTCCAACATGAGCTGCTACCTGGTTCAGCAGCTGATCAAGGAAGGCTACATACGGCGTACGCTCAGACAGACCCACGCACAAGTTGGCGCGCCTCCGACACAAGGACAAGCAAGTACGAGCTGGCACTCTCCCTACGTCACTGCCTTGTGACGCTATCTCACTCGCCAATGCTAACGCGTACATGCTGCTTCTTGCAGCGAGCAGCCCCCCACCGCCTACCGCTGAAGTTCCAGAAGCCCCACTGAGCGCCCCTTCAGAATGTGGCGATGTAGTTGCCGTCTTAGATCCGTTTTTGTATCTGTAGTTGCACGGCGGAGCATGAACGCCTGTGCCTTGCTTAGTTTCTCACTGTCAGCTCTCGGTCATAAAGCTAGCTAGCCAGCCTCTCACAAATTAATAAACGCTCAAATGAACGAGGCGGCAAAAAAAAAAAAAATGGTTATCTTTTTCCGAGCGGAGGTAGTACATAAAAAAAAAACAAATGGTTATCTTTTTCCGAGCGGAGGTAGTACAAAAAGCTAACGTATTACTTGTATAATTGCTGCCACCATCAAGAGTGTCATTATAAAATATTTATAGCTACCGTCTTACCCCGCATATAAGGCATATGTGTTCTAAATAAAATACGGGATTCGCTCGACATCTACCACCTACTTAATTAGAACACATGTGGCTGAAACCTACTTAAAACACAAGGCTGTACCAACCAATGAATATTCTTTGAGAGCTCCCAACCAACCACCCTTTTGAACAAACTTGTCGGTGCTGCTGTACTTGGCTTTAGCTCTCTTATTTTATAATTTACACAGCCATGAGTGCTGAGCGACGTAGCTATAGGTACGTACTGCTGAAAAGGACAACAAGCTGGTGTCCAAATTCTCGTAAACGGTTGAAAATCCTCTGAAAACGCTGTGCTTGGTTTGCTCCGGATCACATTTCGCAGTGAAAGTAGGTGGATACATAATATAATACACGTGATTACATGTAATGCATTTGTGCAAACGATTCTTATAAAAAAACAATAGTAGAATTCATAATATTAACAAGCAAAACCTCCGTATACAACGCAGCCACAACAGAAAGAAAAGACCCGCTACCAATCACAACATCATGTGAACTGCACGCAGGCGGGTTTGAGCCCTACCCGATCGCGTAGGAGGGTCAAACCTCAACGACCAAGCCAGATTCCAGGACCCACAAACTTGCTTCTTCAAAGTCAAACAATTTGCTCGTTGTACAACACATAGGCTTTCTAAACGAATATAACACACCAGCAGTGTTGTATTCATTTACAGCACATATGCCTTATATGCGGGGTAAGACGGTAGTACAAAATAACAGGGACGAAAAAGCCGAGTCCTGCAAATAGTGTTTGATCCGACACGTCGTCACAGGACTCGCGTACGCGCTTCCGCTACTTTACGTTAGGTGTCGAATAATGCGCCCCTGGAACTGAACACCAAGTAGGAAAAGGCCGGGTTGAGTTGTTTACTGTACGACTTCTCGTAGCGGTACTGAACAAATACGTTTACGATCAACTCGGACCCATGGGGGAAGTGATAACCGTAAAAGGTTAGCTTGATCGACGCACACATCGCGCACACTGTTAACTGTGCTAACTGAACATTACTGTTCGTTGTAAAGCAACGCTTTTAAGTGATTGTTCTGTCAACACTGAAGTTGCACGTTATTTGACCCACTACCTATAGTAGAATTTACAAGGGATAGTAGCACTACTGGAAATAAATATGAGGCATGTGATATACAAGTAGCGGGAGGATAAAACTCGTCCTAGTTGTGAGTCCTACAATATCCTCTAAAGCAATGTAAAGTGTGATTTTTATCATGCGCTTATGGTACACCTGAAAAAAATATCCATGTTCAATGATGTGTGTGCAGTGCCTCAATTTATGTTAGGATAGGAAATCCTGAATAAATTCACATTTTTGGGATTTTGAGGGTACAGTTTCTTAACCAATTGCTAGCGTTCCGCCCTCTATTCAGATCATATCACTGGCTGTGGTGTTTATTCTAACTCAAAAGTCGCCGTTTTAAACCCTACCCTTAAGTGTAATTTTTTGCTGGTTTCATGTCACTTCCCAATTCTGACTTAAACTCGCAATCCTGATAAAAACAAGCAGCCGCACGACGGT